ATCATCGAAAACATCAGGGTACAAGCTAAAGTTGACTGAATTTTACTTATATATTGTATATTGTAAGTAAAAGGAGAAACGCTCACGCTCATATGAGCGCTCATGAGTGTGAGCGTGAGTTGTACACCCCTATTATGTACACTGATTAGGAAAGAACGAGTGCTTATATCGGCACATACACATACACATAAAAGAGAGACAAGCAAGGAGAGAGAATACCAATGGCAACGACAGGGAGAGAAGAGGAGAGATACATTAAACACTAGAGAAGTGTAATCGAGGGACAGTAGTATCGACCACTGTTAACAGTAATGAATATCGCCTTTTGTATCATTTTCAATAGTAAAAATTGTAGATGATAATTCAGAGATAAAAATTTTATTATTATTGTCGCTGAATAAAAGTAAAGTAAAAGCATCAGTATGAGATGCCATTAACAAGAAACAAGTAACAAATTACCAGTGGAATCATGTAAAGCCCAAGTGAAAGCATATGGTAACTTACGTAGAAGGCTATTTACATTGATAATATGGCATCATTTACGGTACAGTATTACTGTGATCGAAATTACGAAATTTTCTGGACTATTTACGGTTCCATACGGCGTATAAACGGTTGCATCCGGCAGCGTTACACCAAAAATACGGGTATCTGTATCCATCATCGTGGAGATATAACCTTGTTGATCATGAAGATGTACGTATATCACTACTGGAATAGTTACATTTTTGAACAACTTTATTAAAAAAGAGGTTATTCATATAATTGTTGCACATGTATTTGTGGTTGATGGTTTCGCTTGTTTAGATGTAATTAAAATATTTGATTCATTTTAAACATCACCGAGCAAATGATAAATCCATAAGAGTATTGTCTTCCATACCCATTAGAAAATAGTTCATATTGATCGGATTTTCAAATTCATTTCGAATAACTACATCAATCGAGTTTGAAGAAGCATCGCAGCAAAACATATATTTCATTTTTTCTCCTGCTATAGAGAAAATATATGATTTTCATAGAACTACTTATCTTTAAGTTAATCAATAACTTAATTGATGCAAAGAATTTAATGATGAAATATCAATATTGTTTGTTCATATCCCAGATGAAAGACACACGGTCGTAAACGGTAAGCAACGATAGTATATGGTAAGGTTTTCGTCCATATACGGTCGCTTTTGGCCGCCGTAATGCTACAGCAAGGATGTTTTTATCATGCCATTGGCGAACATACATCTTAAATGAAAATTCCATATCTATCAAAATACTTGTCGCTATGGATCACACTCATGTATGTATGCATGACAATAGTCTTACTGAGCTATGATCAGATTAACGCCTTAGCCCCCTCAGAAAAATTGGTTTTCAAATTTTGACTTCCCCCTTTCCATAGAGACGGTTTTAATGATAATGAGACTAGTTTATTGTAAAATTATAGAGGATTTCCTGAAATAATACAATCGAATCTATCGATAAAGATCGATATCTCACAAAAAAGAAAACAAACCTATAAACTGCGATTTATTGAACCACAGTTACCACCATTCTGCAGGATAACGAAAGTCAGCTCATAAATACAGCTCTCTCAAATAGTTGAAAGTTACGTGAAACAGCGTTACAGGCCCAACTCCCACATCTTTTAAAAGACGCCACCCGGCGCGTTTTGTTCGGACCATGATAAATCTTGACTTTTTAATGTGTCTCATTCATCATATCTGAGTCAAGATTTTTAAACTTACCTAAACTAACACAGAAGTTCAGGATGGTTGTCCTTCAAGGGACGCTGTAGTGGATATATAAACTTTCATCAATACAAAAAAAGAAGAGTAGTGTCAGATTGATAATATTATAATTACGAAAGGACATCTTTGAAATAATGGGACACAACACTCTATTTGTCTTCGAAAATTTCTTCATGCTTTCATATGCGGAGAACGCAAAAAATATACCCACGACTTAATACAGTTTCACTTCAAATTTTATTTTCGTGGGTAGCAAAAATATCTGTTATTAATTTTAAATTTTCATCAAGTAATCGCATATTCTAGTCGTCTAGTATTTGGTAATACTGCACGGGCTTCGAAAAGTAATTACCCGGTTATAATTCGTTCTTTTTTATGCTTCCGTGACATTTTTCAGAGTTCATGAAAACGAATTTATTCCATTAATAATATGATAAATGAATAGCTAGTCGTGAGGTACGATAAATTAAAGTAATCTATTGGAATTAGTCATTTTTGCTCGGATGTATGTAATAATTTACTTTCCTTTTTTTCTTCATTTTAGATCATCGACCCGAAGCCATCAAAGGAAGTTGAAGATTTACAAGATTGGATGAATCTGTCAAATACTGAATGGGTTGAGGTTTTCAAAGATCTTAATGGCAAAGTCGTAGTCAATAACAAGAAACTTCAAGAATCGCATTCAGCTGACATTAAATACATTGTATCGCTATTAGTCAATGAAATGATCGAAAAAGTTAATGGCGAAAACGTTGATGGCGAAAAAAATAATGCAAAGCAAAAATATAAATCGGATAGTTTCGATCAACATGGATCAAAGAAAACTCGATTTGAATGATATCAAAAGATAGTCCAAAATAATTGTTTTTTTGTGTAGCTGTTGAAATAGTTGTTAATTGAAGATGTGCAGCTATTTTTTTTTCTTTGTGAACATATACTAGATTGAAAAATTCAATGCAATGCTAAATTGAAATAAATAAACTTGTTTTCTTTTTCACAGAAACTGAAGAAAAAATACTTTGAATACATGTAGATATCGATAAAACTAGATAAAAGATGTTTTGACGTGATTTATATCTGTAATAAATTTTTCAATTCAACTATATGGAGAATGATATCGGTTGAAATATTTGATAGTCAATGTGTGCATTGATCTCATGAGCTGCCTAATACTAGTTCGAATATGAATGAAGCCCTGAGAGTTAAGATTCACTTCGAAAAAAAAAGATGAAAAAAAATCTAACCAGCACTTTCACGGTGTGGAAGTAGACCCATACTGATTCTCTTAAGGTGTAGTACCACTTTTATATCCAAAAGTCTCCTGTAAATCGTATTCTTTATACGCGAAAATATAATTACATATATCTCATGAATAGAACAATTTATCCAGTAATCAATCGGTAAAAATGCGTGTTACCAATTTCATACAAAACTCACCAAAAATATTTAACTATTGCATGGAAAAAATGATATAAATTGTGTAATGAAGAAAATATTGAACTCGATACATGCATGATATTTTCTATTTATCAAATATACGATTGAACGCTGTATGGGCGAAATGTTGTAAAATCTTTCAATTCATGCATGGCTATTTTCTTTGCTAACGTTCACGTCATGACCCAATTGTCATCGAATAATTCGATTCCTATTTTTCAAGAATATAAAGATACGATTTATATGAATTTACTATAATAAATTAATAATTTTATTTAATTATCTTCTCTCATTCATATAATACAAAAAGAAAATGCATTAGAATTGAAAACAATTTTAGTTTCTTAATACAATAGACTAGATATAGAATAAAAAATCAAAAGAATATAAACACCGGTTTATATCAAAATATTCTTATAAAGCTCTTGAATGTGGTGGTCGAACATTTGATTTTGTAGCAGTATTTCGATCATGACTAAATATTGGCTGTTTTTCATCGATATAAAATGGATCGTCCATAAGTTCACCGTTTCGATCAGCTGGTGGAGTATTTGCCGATAAATCATGTTCATCCAATAACACATCTTCTAATGGTCGATTATACGTATTGGTATCGTTTGTTGGCACATGAGAATAAACTGTACTCATAGAGTTGATTTCTAATCCAATATGTTCATGACCATGACGATGCACAAATAAATATTTGATTTGAAATAATTTTGAATTATATCGAAGAAAAGTATAACCAATAATCGATAATAAAGCACAAAGAAAAGCAATTAAAAACCACAATCCCCATTGAAATCGACTTCTTATTTGACAATAACGACCAGTAAAATTAGGTTGACAACTAAATCAAACAATAAGAATCTCTTTTCAAAGAAGAAAATTTCAACTTACCGACAGATTGGTTTTCTATTTTCTAGAACACATGTTCCTCTATTTTGACAATTAATTGATTGACATATATTATTTTGGCATGCTTCACCTGTAAAACCGTTTGAACAGCTATAGAGAAAACAAAAAAACAATATTATTAAAAATCAATTGACGATATCCATAGACTTACTTGCAAACAATATTAGTGTCGTTTAAGAAACAACTACCATTGTTTTGACAATAATTTGAACATTGATTTAATTCACACTGAGCACCAGAAAATGGAAACGGACATCTAGCGGTAAAATACGAAAGTTATTATGAGAATAATTATTTTCGGAAAAGGCTGAATTGATTTTTTTTTAGTAACTACTTACGAGCATGTAGTAAGATTGTCATTATCATTGATAATAAAAACACCATTGTTAAAGCAATTCGCATTGCTCTTCATTGTTTCGCGACAAACACAACTTTGTGTTTGAACATGAAAAATCAACGAATGCATTGTACCTTCACATGATGAATCAGGAAAAAGTGTCCGCGAACATTGTTCACGTTTCAACGGTGCAATTATTCTATCACATGGTACTTCTATAAATATGAAAATTTTGCAGAAATCTAAACAATAGAAAAAAAAAGTTTACCGATTTCACCACGCTCATTTTTAAGTGTTGTACATAGATAAGGTGTTTGCCGAATTTTCGATCGTGATAAATAGCACATGCAAGGTGGTTGTGAATCATTACCAATATGAAAACATCCAACATTAATTGTATCTGTTAAACGACACATTTCACAATCATCGCCTAGATACGTTCGATTGGAGCAAACACATTGACCATTGGAACATATACCACGACTATGACATGATGAACCACATAAATTCATTTCTATAAAACAAAAATTAAAGAGAACTTCATAAGAGATGACGACGAATAAAACATACGTCCAGGAGTAACGCATAATGGTCGATATGATGGAGTTGTTATACAAATACGACCATAAGGACATACTGAATCGGAACAAACTTGATGAACCACTAGAGAGAAAAATATTACTTCATTCATGGGACCTAAATAATATTTACTATCGGATGTATCAACACTTGGATATTTAAATTCATGTATATATCGAATAATCGTTGCTGCTCTTAATTTACGATGTTTTGCCGTTACTGTTCTACCAAATTTATCTATCGATATTTCATCGTATGTTGAATCGGTTGTATTGTAAACCATAGTAACAAGTGTATCATCATAGATACTAATCGAATAAGGTCGAAGATCTTTAAAATAATAAACACTTGTTTTCCAAGGTTGACTCTCATCAATCGCGTAACTTTCAATTTCACCATTCGATAATAAAACATATAAACGCGGATGACGATAGTCGATGGTCATACTTAATACTGGATATTGAAGAGTTAAGAATATTTCAAGATTGGATCCATCAAGTAAACTTCTATAGACAAAAGAATGTTGTGCGTCATAATATGCACTTATATAGAGATACCTAAACAAGACAAAACAAAATACGTCAGAGAATGTAATGATCTCGATATGAATTCTTGTTTCGGTAAATAATACTTTAAGACGTTAGAAAAAGAAATGAGATTTATCATCCGATTAGTGTTTTGAATAAAAGCGGAAATCTATCCTGTCGAAGATTTTTTATTTACCCTTGTAATGGATGAACATTAACTGATGAGATTGTTTTTATATTCGAAAATGTTAATCGATTCATAAATGTTAATTGTGTATAATCATTTTTATTCGAATACATTATTTCAATACCATTCGATGACGATGATGGGTCATCATAGAGTGCATAGACTATACGATGGATCCAATCAACTTCCAATGAAGTGAAATAAAAAAGTGATGAAGACCAAATCTATAATGAAAATAATATAATAAAAATAATCGAAAATTCGAAAAATAAAACCTGTGTTGCATTATTTTGCGATCGATCCGTTGAATTAAAAGTTTTATTTAATTTTTGTTGCCAAATAAAACCATGTCCACCTCGTTGTTCAGTATACAATAAGCACCATGAATTACCCGCTGGAATAAATACAACATCGATAACATGATGTGCAGGATTTACCGGCTAGAAAAAAAAATCAATAACGAACAAAATGATTTTCTGAAGCAGATTTACTAGAAACACGGAATTATATTGATAGAGATAAAATGATGCACGAGGATTCAGCATAATATTGAAAGTTTGATTCGTTTGCACTACACACGATATATTATCGTCATTGTTCTGAAAATAAACAGGTCAACGCGATTGAACATTCCGATAGTAAAATATTTTACTTTTTTCATTTTGTATCCGCGGTCACATTCGCAATTTATAATCGTTTTATGTATCTGAGAGAAAGTACCTTGTGAGCAAGCACCATAAGACCAATCGTAAAGATTATCTTTTAAAATGCAACTTCTAAATACGAAATTTATTTTTTTTTATTCCAATAAAAGAATTAGTTTTTCCTTCTTACCCATTTGCTATTTTAACATAACCTTGTTTACATTGACAAACAGGTAAACGATTAATTATTTCACAAAAACTCGATGTCGCATCACAATCCGTACAATTACCTAAATAAAAGTCTATTCATTCCGATTTTTAAGCAGTTGCTAGTGAAGTTATTCTATGACAGGTGGTGCCCAGAACTTCTTCATTCAAGGATTGTCCTAATCGGCTTTCTCTATTAGCAATGTACTTACGACAACGCGATTTATGTTCATCGTCTCCTAATGGACATTGATTAATACCATCACACAATGCATTTAATGATATACACAATTGATTATTATTTAGTTCATGCCGTTGTCGTGCACATCGATACCCATTCATACATGTATAATCCTTGTGCCATGCTATTGAGAGAAGATCATGATTAGTATAATCTTCACAATTTTCCTCATCGGAAGAATCCGAGCAATCGAGATCACCGCTAGGAAACAATTATAAAGTTTCTCTTCGTTCTTTTGTTGACATATAAAAACAAAAAGTCTTACTCGCAAACGTAAGTATGATTGATACAAATATGAGTTGTTTTACAACGAAATAAATCAGCTGATTCGCATGTTACATTGATTTGCGGAGTTTTTGGTGTTGTTGTTGTTAAAGTACTCGGATGATTTAACACTAGATCTATAGAATAGTAGTTTCTTTTAAAAATAAAACAATAGACTTATTCATACGGCATGATTGTGGCGTTTCGTCGGCGGTGATACCCTTAATTCTATCAATAATGGGACAATCTTCTACATTGTCGCAAACTTTTTCATGCGGGATGCATTTTCCCGATGATGGACATTTAAAATATCCATAGGGACATGTTACATTCGCACAATCAAATGGTTCATCGGCACCATCATCTACAAGCGTACAAAAGTTTCGAATAGAAAAATAGTTCGTTTAACACTTACAACAATATGGTTTATCATCACATCGATGCGTAATTGATACACATTTTCCATCACAATGAAATTCTTCATCGGAACATATAGTTGGATATTTTTCTAGGCGAAAAAAAATCAATTTCTTCTTCCTTCATCAAAAATTCTTCTTACTCGAGCAAACGTTTGAACTCGGCCATTCACAATAATGTCCACAAATCATGTCATGTTCATCTTCGCCAAGTAAACAATCCGTTATGTTATTACATAGATCAGCAGTTGATATACATTTTGAATTACTCGAACAACGAAATGAGGATGTGGTATTACACGCTATTAATAATTAAAAAGAAACAATTATTCAATTAGTCGAAACTTTTCTAAACAAAGCCACTAACTTTGACAATTATTCTCATCTTCACCAAATCCACAATTAACAATCCCGTCACAACGTTGATAAAACGGAATACATTTTTTCGACATTTGACAATTGAAAAAATGTCTAATTAATAAAATAATCAAGAATTTATTTGAATTTCTATTTTACGCCTCACTCAGAGCAACTTGATATACACGAACGTCTATCTTCAGCTAGATTATAATATTGTGCACAGCCACATGTGATTTCTGTTTGATTAAGAATATTTGGAAAACATAATTGTTCACATTGATCGCATTGACTTTCCGGGCCTGTAAATATCTCTAGTTTTTTGTTGGCTAGCAGAACTTCTCTATTTACCTTTCTGCCTATTGATATCGATAACAATAAAATCTATCACATGGATAGGATACCGAAGATAATAGAGATTATGAAATGAATCCAATTTCCAAGCACCTTGTCCAAATCGTGAACTTTTATCTATTGAAGGAAAATTCTTTTAAATAATTTCTTAAATAATTTAGAATTTTTACTATAAAAAGTTTGAACAACACGATCAAGATTAAAAATCAATCCCGAACCAAGTAGTGTTGTCCCAAGAGCATATTTTGGATTTATACGAAATTCGCTATAATTAGTTCCGTCCACTTGTGTAAAAGCTTTATACATTTTATCTGGAAAAAATAGTTGCAAATAGAACCTGAATTTTTTCTACGAAACTTTTACCAGAAAATATTTGGAATGAATGAAATCGAAATGTTGTTTGATATTGTGTATGAAGAACGTCTCCTTGCATATTCAATATAAATATTTTATCGAATCCATTATAGAAATACAAATGATGATTTATTCGATCGATTGTTAACAATGGTCGTAGATAATTCGCATTTTCATTATCACTCGTAGTTTTTAAGGTAAAAAGAAGCTTTAAATTCTTGCCATCCATTCCAAGACGAACTATATGTTGAGCTCGAGCTTTAACAATAGCAGTATAGAAAAGTAAACTAAAGAAGTAGAAAAACAAGAAAATATTCAATTTTGGTTTTTCAAGTATTTAATTAACTATACCCTTTCTCCGGATATAAAACTAGACGCTGTGGTAAATAATCACTGACTGTTTGATGAAGTAGAATATGACAAAAACTTCCGTTAAGGCGACATACGTCAATGGTTTGTAAACGTTTATTCACGAAGTAAATGTTTCTATGCATCCAATCAATAGATAACGACTGAATTGATGTATAGTCACGCCCATCAATCACTAACTAGAGATACAATAAAATTTTGTTAAAACAAATTCGATTAGCATAGAGAAAAAAAACTACGACGCGCACTCGTTGACCTGTTTCCTTAATGCCAGAAATTCGAAACACATCGGAGTAGCAATCTCGCGATCACAAGACGCACTTGTCAAATCTATATTAACAAGCGCGTAATTCCCTATTCTCAAAGTAGAGACTCGTTCTGATAAGAAATAGTTTGAGATCCTACAACCAGTTTGTTTTTCTTATAATGACTGAGAAACTCGGATCTATTTTTTTGGAGGCATTCGTACTTAAAATATTCAAGCTGGTATTTCTAAGTAGGATAATGCTATTAATCAGTCTCTATTGAATTGATGCAAGATGTCATACTTCTTTATTATGCATTGATTTATTCAAATTAATGCGAAATATTCCTCTCGTTTTTGCACACGACATAAGAATAGGTCGTATCGGCGTTGAACATTCTGCAAAGTATAAATAATTCTCAATAAGATCATGATCTAATAAGTAAGCATGATTTGTTGAAGTAATCAATGTATTGTTATCTGGTACGAATTGAATTTTATTAGCATTGGATGATTCTTTGATTTTATCAAGTTCATTTTCATTATTAAGATCTAATTTATATATTCCATTGTCAAACAAGCCATAAAGTGACGCTGAAAAGAAGTTTAATAATAAAAAAGTATCTATAATAATAATAAAACTTGTGGTTACCAGATGAGAATAAGTTGGCTCGAAGTCTACATGTGTGTTTATCTGATTTTAATTGATAATTTTCATGACACGAACAACGATACGATCCAGGAGTATTTATACAATAATGATCGCAAATAACTCTTTCACGACATTCATCAATATCTTCGCAAACACCAGTTGTTTCGTTCATTCGGTAGCCGGTTTGACAAACGCAACGTTTATGAAAATAACCTCGACAATATTGATTTTCTCCTAAACATGTATTGTTAATCGAGCACGGTCGATTATTTGATAATGATAATGAAGGACATTCATCATCACCATCATTGTCATCATTTTCTTCGTTAAATATTGGATTACATTCATGCTTTATATCACATTCAACATTTTTCGGTAAACATTTATCAGTTAAACCACATCGATGAAATAATTTCTCAGTAACATAATCTTCGATGGGACAGCTGCAAGACATTTCATCACTTCGATCATGACATTGACTTATTGTATCACAAATGTTAGATTTCGGAATACAGAGTTTTGTTGATTTACATGCAAATTGATCACGTGTGCAATATCGAGGAAAGCCTAATGGGAAATGAAGATGAATTAATTGCTTTTTCTTACACAGAGAAAAAGCTACATACGACAAATAGATGAAGATTCATCACTTCCGTCAGAACAATCCTAAATAAAAGCAATGGGGAAATCAATTCTATACAAGTGATCCATCAAACAAACTTGAATTCCATCACAAACAGCTGTAGACGGTATGCATTGTTTTTTCGATTGACAGCTAAATTCATTCAGTGTACACTGAACCACAGTTGGGCAATCTAATGGTCAAGAGAGCAGAACTTTCTCATGAAGTGAGTTTCGTTTTTTTTTGTTCATTTACCTAATTCGTCAGATGAATATGGATCGAGACAATCATTGATTCCATTGCATAGCCATGTTTTTGGTATACAACGATTTGTTTTCTTACAATGATATTCATTTCGTAGGCAAATTATTAATGGATTTCGTTGTGTACATTGTTCATCAATAGCATTTCGACAATCGATAACGCCGTCACAAACCGCTGATCTGTTTAAAAATCATCAAAATAGAATTTACGATACTATACACTTAATTGAATCAATTTAGATGCATGCCTTAGGCTACATCGAAGTATAATGTTTCTTTTTCTCGCTTGAAAAATAATTCTTTTTTTCTTCTTCAAATCATCCCAATGAATGTACGCTCGTTAATAAATCAAATATTTATATCTACACCTTCGTCAATTGTGTTTCTCTCTGGTAATCAACATCGATTCACATTCATATAAAATAGCTACCAGGAGTCAATTTCCTCTCTTTTTTTTCTTTTTGTTGTATATCCACTATAATAGAAAATCGAATGTCAGCGTTCTTAATCATTATTTCCTAATAGAAGATCAGCAACAGCAACTCTATCTAATCAATTTCATGAATATAAACGAGCTCAGCACTTAGAAATGGCATACAGATAAACTATTTGATGATGCCGCACGCGAATATTTAACAAGTGTTTTAATATTAACAATTAATCTTCAAGAAATATATCTGCGGATTGGCATCGAAAAAGTCTTTCGCATTACCGTTTAATACAGATTTGTATTGGACGCGTATATTCATAATGAGTTCCATGTTCAGCTAGACGCACACTATGTAATATGTCTTGTTCACAATTAATAGAATAATTTTGATTACATAAATCATTATTAATCAATGCTGTCGAACAATTAATCTCATCTGTCTTATCATGACAATTATATTCTCCATTGCAGACGAATGCATAAGGTAAACAACGGATTTTATCACAGCGAAATAAATGTGATGGACATAAAGAGGCATCATCTAATTTATGATGCAAAACAGAAAAACAAGAATATTAACATTTGAATGGAATCTAAAAATGACTTACCAATCTTTTTATGGTCGTTAGAGAAGATTTCTCGCGGTTCAGCATTACTCATAATTGAATAAATAAATAATCGATGTAAAAAAATGTATATGAATACTAATTGCATAGCTTTTGTTGTTTTAGAAATTCGTCTATTTACTAGGATGAATGAATATAAATACAAGAAGTTAAATATGAAAACTAAATTGCGTGGAACAAGAAGAATAAGGAATAAGTAGCTTATACACACAATCGACCAACTCTGCGACGAGTATTTTTCTGTCAACTCAATAGTTAGTCGAAGTATGAATGGTAATAATGAATACCAAGTTCATCATTCGTTTTCTTTTTTCTCTTCTTCTTCTCTTTCTCCTCGTTCTTCTCTCTTAGCTATGTGGACTATTTCACGCGTACAACTTGAGATCCGTTTTTTCTTCTTCTTCTTTTGCTCGTTTGTAAACTAACGGTTGCCGTTTAAAGAAGATTATAGAACAGAAGAGAAAAGAAAAAAGAAAAGAATGTCCATCTTTGAACACTCACTACTGGTTGTGTTTTCTTAATAAAACATCTGTGATATAGACTTCTTATAAACGCAATTAAGCAGCAATAGCAAGAAAATTCTTTAGTTAGTGATAGATGTAATACGTAATTATTTATGGCAGACGATAATCAATCGATTTTAATAACGTGTAGCAGGTTTTTCGTATCTATCATTCTCATGTATTGGCATTAGATTAACGAATCCTACCATTGTAACTTTGATATTATCTTTCAGATCTCAGCATATACATCTGTTTTGGTTTGCTGTTCGAAAGAATATGATAGCCAAGAAAACGACTATTAGCGACTGTAAATGTAAAGAACAAACAACTGCGAGAATAAAAATATAAGCAAACACTGCCATTCGTCAATGACCTACTGTGAAGTTATCGTTGACTCGTTCGCACAACTGTCACGTCTGTATTGCATTACATCAACACTTTGCTTGAATATAAATATTGAATTGAGTGAAATGCTTTTATTTTTGTTGTATGATTAGTAATATAAATAGCTTGACCAGATTCGCATGTACGAGTCAATTATTATAATAGCCGAAAATTGATTTTCTACGGTATGTAGTTCTCTTCATACAAGGTTAAATACTAATATATTTACATAGAAAATAATGTAATAGATTTAATTTCGGATAAAACAACTTACATAGGCAACATTCATAAGTTTCGAATATTAAATAATATATTCTTGTCAAGCCGAAGAAACATAATAAGTAGAAGAAATTAATTCATAGAGCCAGTTTAACGTAATAGAACGTGCCAGTTTATTCCCCTTGAGTTTTTGATAGCTGTCTGATGCCATCGAGTACAATAGAGGAAGTTGTGTTTCAATATTATCAATGAATAGAAATATTGCATGCAGACATTCACAGTAGATACTAACGGTTCGTCGTCACATTTATACCCAAACTAGCGAATAAATATGAGTGGAGATATTTTCATGGCTAATTTGAACTCTTTTCATGTTAACAGAATGTCTGCAATCAAGATGTAAAGCTTCTATTTATATTAGTAAAGTGTACGTTAAATCAGGATTTTCTTTTTCTTCGTCTCAAAATGTCGACACTTGATAAACAATTTACTGAAGAGAAGACACAAAAATATCTATCGATAATAAACAAATGGATCTTTCTTCGCTTTTTCTGCGATATCACGAAAAAGATATCTGATAAACCAACTGCATCGCACATACATTTTCTGTCCGGATGATAAATGTAAAATATGGTATAGATTACAAGTAACAGGTGTTCATTACTTTTAATGATAATCAACAAGTATTTTTTTGTATTTACTTTGTTCTCGTCTTTTAACAATGTTCATGATCTATAAATTGGCCATAACATGTTGGAAGAAATACCCTCAACTATTCTACAGAAAAAAAACTATGGTATGAAAGTTAAGATAATCTTTATTTCTTTGTGTTTTAAATCCTTGGCTACAATACCAGTGAAATATTTTAATTCATAAACTGCGATAGTGTCATTGCTCTCCTTGACATTTGTTCAGTAATAACAAAAAACAAATAGCATATTAACCAGAAATAATGACAACAAGGAGAAACAAACGCCTGTGAGTTCATTTACAAGGAAGGTTAAAATAGCAATCCAATCAATACTATCAAAACAATGTTTAATAGGAATTGTCATTTCCAATGAAAATCGTTTTTTTTTTCTTTCTTGATGAGCCATTCTAATTTTCACTATTCGCTAATTTTCGTATCAATAAAATAAAATTGCCAAAAGAAATAGCTCTTCTATCTTTTAGATCAAATTTTCCATAAATTTTATTCAGAAATGTTTAAAACACGGTATTCTTTTCTTTGAAATTCACTCCGTTTATTTTAATCCAATCAAAATCGAGCGAGGCAAGCGTATGAAACAAAGAACTAAAACGAATTCGTTTTTTTCAACACTTGTCACTTTCGATCATGTGGCAATTTACGGAAACGTTGGGT